GAGAACAACCGGCTCACCCAGCTGCCCCGAAACTTCCCCTTCGACAAAATGGAGACGCTGACCCTCTCCAGGAACTCCTGGCACTGCAACTGCCAGCTGGCAAACCTGCGCAAGTACGGCACCGCGCGCCCCGTCCCTCCCTGGGCTCCCCTTGGGGGTGGGCACCCCCCGGGCTGTGCCAGGCAAGAAGAGGCTGCTCCCATGCTCGGCAGCTCTCTCCTCAGCTTACCCTCTGATGTCCATGGTTTGTGCCTCTTGTAAGCTCCGGGTTTTCCCCCTCCCCGTGTCCCAGGTGGCTGAAGGGGAATCGCACCCGCGTCGAGGATACCTGCTCCACGCCCTCACAGTACCGGGGACAGTCCATCAGGGACACCCCCGCCCTCCGCACCTGCAAGCTGCCCACCAAGAGGTCCAGGAAGGGAAGCCGCCATTGAACACGTAAGATGGTTCCCTTTTAAGATGATTCCCTTTTAATCACACCTGCAGCAAACCCTGATGCCACAAAAGGCGCTGGGAGTTCTGTCTCTGACTTAAATGACACCAGGTTACACTCGCGACAGCTCATCCATTCCCCCACTGATGCCTCCATCTCCTGGCAATGCTGAGCTCCATGAGCTCCCAGAGCAGAGAACCTGCCTGGAGCATCAGGGATGGAGTCAACTCCGTAAAGCAAACATGGGGATAAAGACAGGCCTGGGGTGGAAAGTAAGGGCAAAGCATGTAAACAAATATAAAACAGAGAAGCAAGGACTCTGAAAATATACACAGAACAGCAATCAGCTTTGAAATCTTCAGAGCTCTTATTGCAACGTGTGAAAAATCAAATCTCATTTTGCAGTACTTATCGTACTTTAGGAAAACAAAAAAAAGCCCTATATTGTAACAAGGTTTAAGCCTCAGTCATGCCTCAGGAACCATGGTGATATGCACCCTGTACAATGCAATAATGCCCCATACTGAGTCAAGATGTAATTGTTGGGCAATAGGGATAAGCATGATATATCAAAACAAGGGTGGACTTAGCCCACCCTTACCCTGAGCTGGGATCACACAGGTTTTGGTTTTCCAACGAACTGGAAATGCTCAGCCCTTTGCCCTAGTAAAGGTCCTCCAGGTCTGGTGTGAAATCCAGGGCAGGGCATTGCTGGGAAATCTGGCCCCAGGCTGCCAAGCCCAAAGGAAAATAGATACCTTCCACAAGGAGCAGTTTTTGATCCAGCTCTTGCCTTTCAGCAAATACAATTCCCATCCAAGACAGTCAGGTATTTAAAAACAAGGGCTGATGCCTTCAAATGAGTATCCCAGCAGAGGGAGGTTTGAGACAGCAAATATTCTTTGGTAAGGTGTCCTGGGCCAGAAGGTGAGTCAGAGACAGGGCTGCCTTTCCCTCCAGCAATGAGCTTGCTGACAGCCACCAATCCAAACACCGATCCCACAAACACCTTCCACAGCTGGAAACTACCAAGAGTATTAAATTCAGCCCACAGAGGAGCAAAAAAGCCACAACTGTCATCACTCCATCCCAAGTATTTTAATTTTTCCCATCCTGGGAATAGGTCTGAAGCTTGTACAGATTCCAGAGGACCTTGAATGAGCCTGGAAGTTTGTAAGCTCTTAGGAAAGGGAACTCTGATCATTTGTTAAGTGATTCTGCACTGTGCCCTTTCAGAACAGAAAGGACAAGGCAGAAACCCTAAGCCCAGTTATGGCCATTTGGTTCCCAGTTCACTAAGGATATGCACAACAGGATGGAGAAAGGAAATTTATGACCAAAATGTCAGGGATTATGCCAGCTGTTCTGTGCCTTTCTAAACTGGTTATTTCTCTTGTAGCGCCAGAGGTTTTATGGATTAGAGATGGAAATACCAGTCATTCCATACAGGGCGGGTAAAGTTCTGCTCTAAAGACGGAAAAACTTCAGTTTTCTAAACCACAATACTTAAATATTTTTTATTTACAGGTCTGACCCTTCTTAACCTTCTTTTCTCCCTGCCTGAGCTCAATCCCAGTTCACTCCTCCATGATGAGAGTAAGAAAGCCATGAAACAACAAAAAACCACCAATAATGCCTGTTTTTTTTCTGTAGTACCTTTCATCCAGCTCCCTCAAACAGGTTTACAAGTGTTAATGAAATAGAAAACTACTTGTTCCAGCCTTGCAGAAGACAAAGCTCAGTGCCTTCGGGTGTCAGTGCCAAAATGCAGGTATACAAACCCACTCCAGCATGGTGAGCATGAAGTTTAAGGAATATGAAGTACCTCTGACTTCATCTTGCACCTCTTGAGAGCCAGGCAGCTTTCTGTCAGCCACAGGGGGTCTGCATTTCAGGGATCAGCAGTGACTGAGGTCACTGACCACATCTGAGATGAAAAGCTGCTTGATAGTTTCTAAAATTCTACCCGCCCTGGATTTTCAGAACTGGGGCACCAAAATAATTCACTACTCTTGAAAATTTTGCTCTGGGTTTTACTTTACCAAGAAAGTGCTCCTTGACCATCAACACTTTGGGTAAGATACTTAGGAGTCACACAGCAAGCTGGCAGAAGAGCTCAGAGACAGGACTAACCCATCTTCTCCACTGTGGAAACCTGCAACAGCTCCTTTACCCCCAGCTCCTCACTTTCAAGGATGGGCTTCATTCGCTGATTTAAAAATAAACAGACAAATGCCACGAGTTTATTGCTGTGCTTGAAAAATCTCCTTAAAGATGTGGCCTTCTCTCTTTTTTCACCCTAGCAGGCCCCGGTATGGCCCGTCCTGGTGACCGGTCACTTCAACCATCAGAAAACTACTGACTTCCGAGTCCTTCCTTGAGCTTCTCCTACCTGTCAGGAAACATTTCTGACATATCCAAACACCTCCAGCCTCCTCCGACTCCCCGCTTCTCTGCTGATCGCAGGATGGAATCCACCTTTTCAATCTTTTCCGACATCTTATGTATTTTAAAAGAGGCGTTTTTAAAAACTAAACTATGCATGACCATACTAAGACAAGCTAACCTAGATCCTGCCGGTAAAACACAGTCATCTCTCCCAGAGGAAACACGTCCCACGTCCCCCATCAACCAGTTGGTTGCTGTCTCTCCCATTCCAGCGGAGTGGAAGCAAGTGGGAAGGTAGGAGCATCCCTCCCCCAGCTGCTTGATCAGGAAAATCGGTCCCAACCCACGCAAAGAGACTCCTCTGCCTTCCCACGGAGGGGATCCCTGCAGGCCAGGGCTGAGGAGACAGTGAAGCAGTGACCAAGAACCAGAGGCCCTGAGGCCGAGCTGCCTTCCACACCAAAAGGCAAAAATCTCCCTAAGTTGGCCAGAAATCCTTTAGGGGAAGCAGTACTGGGAATCCCCAAAACTGGAACCATCTGAAGACTGGATTCCCTCCCACTCTGTGGGGTCTACCAAGATGTACATCCAAGAGGAGAAGGTATGCACCGTGCAGTTGGCTCAGGCACCCCTCCTCTCCTCCCTGCCCATACCCCAGAGGATCTAGCAGGACACCAGGATGACTGTGGTTTATTGTCATGGCTATTACAACACCACAGTTTCAATTTAACTACGTTTTTTTAATCCTAAAGAGTTATATAAATATATGTATATTTATTCCTCTGTAACTGAGTGTAAATGACCTTTAAGAGGGTGAAAACTCCTCTGTCTCCTATATAGAAATCAAATTGTATATTTTCTTATGTACAACTTCTGTATAAAGCTCTTGCTGCAAAGATGAAGTCAACAAGTCTCTCTGTGTCTGCCTGAGGGCTGGAGGGATCAGGAGTAACATGAGACCAGTGGCACAAATATAGACTTAATCCTCTTTATCCCATGGGCAGAACAACTGTTTGGGAGGGTTTTATTATTTCTCCCTCTACAAAACAGGAACATGTGACACCTAATGAGTCCTGGGCATTTGCAGTAATGCCTGAAAATATTTTGTGAGGCCAAACTCAAGCTTATTATAAAAATAGGTAGCTGTCACCTGACAGAGTTCAAACAACAGCACCAGGGTTGCCCCTGGTGTTATCAGATTGGCATTAAGAGCATCATATCCAGGAAAAAACCCTGGCTGCCTCCGAGGCGGCTCCAGGACAGATGCCCTGGATTCCCCTGGTCCATGGCAGGACACACAGTTGTCCCTGTAAAACCCTGGTGCAGTTTGGGTCTGCCAAGAACAACATGCCTAATCTGACTCCCAGCCCCACGTGTTTGTCCATCACATCAGCCTGCTTCCTCAGCCTTCAGAAGCAGTGTGGTACTGAACTAACTTCCTTTAGAGTAAAACAAAAACAAAGAAAATCCTTTTTTGGCTCAGCCATTCACCTGCAGATGGCAGAACTTGCCTAGGAAATGTGTCACCTGGAATGCCACCAGCCCCCTCGCTGGTGGCCCGTTCCCCTCCACGTGCAGGACGCGCTGATGCTCTTGCACAGGCCCAGGGTGTCAGGACATGCAGTGGAGCAGAAGAACGTGGCCCAACACGTGCTGCCCTTCTGGCAACACACCACCTGGTGCTGTGCATGTGGATGGCACCATTCCCATGATCCAACCACAAAAAACAAGCAACAAGGTTTTGCGTCCACTTGCAGCCCGGGATGGTGAAACCAACTCGACAGCCCCCACAGCAAGAGGAACACGTGCACCCACCCACACCAACACAAACCAGCAATGCCTCTTCCATCACCATCCTTGCAGTGTGGACAACAGAATGTTTATAAAAGTTTTGAAATGCACCAGCAGAATTTCAGTTCATGGCCCTGAATGCAATGTCTCCTCCTCTTACAAAGCTTTCTCCCCAGATCCCCAAGAGCAACCAAGTAGAACCCCCCTTCTGCCTCCCAGCCCCTCTGCACCTTCTCTCCTCAGCCTGGCCTCGCATCCAGGGTCCCATCATGCTGATCCCAGAAACTTTGGTACCACCAGGTACAACTGTGGTCCAGATACACCCAAAACTGGGGTCTCACCATGACAAACACGCGTTGTAGGTCTGGTTACAGCAGCCACAACTCACCACGAGATTTGGCATGTTCATCTTGGTCATAATTGTCTTCATGATCTCAGGGGGAACAGGAGAACCTGCAATGATTCCTGGAAGAAAGAGGAAAAGACCTTGGAAACTATCTATTTATTCCCAGGAGCAGTCCCTCAAATGGTTCTGCACTCCCAGAGTTCAATGCTGGCAAGATCTCTGGGATACAATGGCTCATGTCAAAATACTGTCTATATTTATAGTTACTTTGTTTCATTGTTATTTATAGTTATTCTAGAAGTAAAGGCTGCAGCAAGGCCAGTTTGCCTGAATGAATTAAGGGTTGGCAGAGTTCACTCATTCAGAAGATAAACTCTATAGCACAAACCTAGTCCAAGCTGCAGTTACCAAAAAAAGGAAGGATTCAGACGAGAAAGAGACGCAGATTTTTAGCAGGACAAACACTCCCATCAATCCTCACCATAAACCCAAAAACCTTTCCTCCTGCCTTGCACAGAGCAGCCCTTTTGGGAGAGGGCAGATCCCACTGCCACCTGTTTCATCCTAGGATGACGGAGCAGAAGAGAGGAGTAATATATGGGCTTTTCTGGGGAACAGGGTCAGACAGGATCATTTTTCACATAGCAGAGATGATTAGGTAACTGCTTAAATATTTCTTTATGCTCCAGCACCATCTTCTCTCTGTGCTGTTACTGCCTCAAAAAGGGCTGTGGTCTCCCTGTTTGAGCTCAGCTATTTTCAAGGTTGGCTGCAACAAGAAAGGAAGCTCCAGCATAGGGTATCACACCCTCCCCAGTACTTGGATCAATGACTTCAGAAACTGGCAGGAAACTTTAGGTCAGAGAGAGAAATCCCAGCGTGGCTCTGCTTTAGGGACTGCACCACCTTGAAGCACAGAAAGCATCTGCTGCCACACGGTGGTGGCTGGTGAGATGGGAGCTGAGGAAAATCAGTCTGATACCTGAGGAAAATCAGTCTGAATTCCTGATACCTCCCCTTGCAGCTAAAACAGAAAGGTCCTTTTCTAGGACTGCCTTAAGATGAGAGAAGAGTCCTAAAATACATAATGATCTAAGGATTCCCCAGGGAAAGGAAATGTAGCATCAAATTAACAGGGGAAACACAAGGCTCGCACAACTAAACTCTTCCCACCAGAAGAGCCATTTGCTCACAAAACTTAACGCAGCCTCCCAGCAGGGAACCAGGAATATCCTGTTTCTCAGGATTTTTCCATGTGGGTTCTGAGCCTTACCTCCCTGGAGAGATGACAGGTCGTAGGAGTCAAAGTCTGGCTGGGAGAGCATGTCTATGAACATGGTCGGTGTGCCGAGGAGGAAGGAGCATCTTGAGGAACAGGGGGGGAAAAAAAGGCAAAGCTGCAGAGCCAGAACTGGGGGCAGCACCAGTTCAGCACCCATCCCATCCCACCCCTCACACAGGGGAGCAGAGCAGCAGCATGGAGGCAGGCACAGCAGATGTGCTACTCATCAGCACACAGAGATAGATAGATAGATAGATAGATAGATAGATAGATAGATAGATAGATAGATAGATAGATAGATATAAATATATAAACATAGACATATATGCATGTATGATGCAGACACAGCAACAGCTCTTTTGTTTCACAAGTTACACTTGAGGAACAACCTGGAAACACAACTGAGCTGGACTTAGAGAAGAAGGGCAGGTGTGTGAAAACACACCAGCCACAGCAAACCAAGACACCACTACGCTTTCCAGCCAAAGCCATGTGGATCCTTTAATTTTGGGAGAAGTGTGACACACTCCCAAGCACAGCTGGAAAGGCAGATTTTGGCTCCTGAAGTGACTGCACAAGTATGTGCACCAGCAAACCCGACTCGCCCACCATTGGAAGGAAGGGCGTGAGCAATGTCCTGGCAGGTGAGGTGAGGGAAGAAGCACAGCCACAGCCATGAACTGCTCTGTAACAAGACACAAACGAGCTCTCACTTCTCTCGAGACACGGCCTCCAGCGCAGCCTTCCCCTCGAAGCTGGGAGACGAGAAGATGCAGCAGGACCCGTGCAGGGCCATCACCATGCAGCCTCCCACCGACGCCAGGCAGTGATAGAGGGGTGCAGGGAGGCAGAAGCGATGGTCCTGGGATCAGCCAGAGACAAAAGTGAGGAGAAGAGACATCCCCCCCAGCCCATGTCCAGCCCATCTCACTGCTGAAGAGCAAAGATCTGAGCAGAGAGACTTTTTTTCCTGATCTGCCTGTTGGAAATCTGACATTCAGCTGTGTTCCTGTTAGGTGGGAACACGACTCTCACACCTCCTGTCTTTAATAAAAATCACCTTGGGAAGTTTTCTAATGTCAAAATTTAATTCTGTAATTCTGCAATTTTTATTTTTTTCTTTGCTGGACTCTTTAGTCTGTTATTGCTTACACATTATATGCCAAAAGAGAAGAGTGGGAGTGCTGTGACAGGCATGAAATATTCAGGACTTGGCACATCCTATTAATTTTTTTTTTTTTTTTTAAACACCAAAGACTCTGAAGACTGATTGAAACAACTTATCTATTTTCTGGATCAAAGCTGATATGTTAGAAATAAATAATTCAGAACTTCAAAAGAAAATATTTGCCTTTAACAATTTTTAAAAGAAACTACAAATAGAGAGGTCGTACCCTGATAAGATTTATGAGACTGTAAACATGACATTAAATGAAGTCATGTAAATTAAAACCTCATTCAACAGAATTCAAAGCTAACACTTAGTCTTGTAATTATTTGAAATAAGTATTCACCAAAACGAAAAGTGAATAATTTCATGATTTTTCCCCCACAAAATGATAGCTCTTTTTTTTCCCCCAAAAAAACCTTCACATGAAACTGAAATGAATCATCAATGAACTCCATTGAAATGCAAAATGCTGTGCATTAATATCCCTCAATGTCATTTGCAGCAAAACATCCTGCCCTGTCTCTGAGCAAGCACCAACACTCTCCACACATGTGGTCTCTCTGGGGCAGTGGAGACCACCCCAAACTGTGCTCCCACCAAAACCCACCTGCTGTGCGATCCCCAGCCTCAGACCGATCAGATGGGCATTGTTCACAATGTTCCTGTGGGAGAGGGTGGCTCCTTTGGGGCTTCCCGTTGTGCCCTGGAAGACACAGGGCATTATGCAGTGATGACACCTTTTCTGAGGACGAGCTACGTGTGCTCTGCAGAGATTTCCCAGGAAGACCCTGGGGTGATCTTGCACTTCATTCTCCAATCAGACATGGAAGACTGGTTTTTCTTCTTTAAAGGAACCTGAATCCCGAACCACACCAAAAAACAACCAAACTTCAGCTGGACAGAATTCACCTGACACCCTCTCATCTCCATCAGCCTTGACAGAGGACTGAGCAGCAAGAATGGAAGAAGTAAGGGGAAATGCTTCCAGCTTCTTCTTCCATCCTACAGCAGAAGCTGGAAGCTTGTTTTCAGAGAGCAGAAGGCAAAGGAAATGGGATGCTCGGCTCCACACACATCTTTCCCCATGTCCCCAGCAAGAAACTCAACCACATGGAGCAGGCAGGGCACCTACTGAAGTGAACTGGATGTTGATGGGGTCATTGCAGGACAGGGTCTGCTCCACTGCTCTTAGCTGCTTCACCTGGCTGCTGTCCCCAGCCTGCATCACTTCATCCATGTGGAAGGTGCCAGGCAGCTTGGAGTCCAACATGATAACAATGGATAAGTCAGGTAGCCTGGTAGAGAGAAAAACAGCATCAGCAATAACAGAACAAGGAGAAAACTGCCCACACAGGTGCACACTGCTCAGGGCAAACCTCCAGGCCAGCCTAACTTCTCTTCAGATGAGACCAATTACAGGTCCTCCTTCCACCAAAGCCTGTGTTGTGCAGCTGAGGGGACACAAGGCAGGACACGGCTGTGGGGTCAGTGAAAAAACACCAGATGTTCCTAACTCACCTTTTGCTCTTTATTCCCCCTGGACTGGATTTTTCTATCTCAGGACATGACTGCTTCAGAATATCATAGTATTTCTGTGTTTTAAATTGCATGGGGAACACCAGTGCCTTACAGCCAACCTGTGGAGGGAGACAGAAACTCATGAGAAGTCACGTTGGGTTGATGGTCAAGACACAGTAAAGAGCAGCCACCACCAACACAGGAACCACAGGTTGCTTCACTGAGGACAAAAGCAAATGTCTGTGCATTCAATTCTGTGCCCAGCACGGGCAGGGCAAGGTGCTGCCATGGCACATCCAGCACTCCAAGCCTGGATCCAGGTGTGCAGCCAGTGCTTTGCTCCTCCTCAGTGCTGGGATCAGGATGGGCTGGATGATTATTCCTGGGCAAGAGAGCAGAGCTGCAGCCTGAGGTTCCCCCTTTGCCCAGCATCAACACTACTTGTGAGCACAAGGCAAGCAACCCATTTTTCAGATTATGAGCCTCAACACTAACAAAAAAAACTCCAGTCCCAAAATATGAAGAAATAAATAAAGTTAAAACAAATTAATTTGTGTTGGTCTGAAATGAGGAATTTTGAGGAACTCTGGAAAAACAAGGAAACCTAAAGCCTGCCTCTAAGGCCAAGCCAAGATTTTATTGTGGGAGTTTTTTCATAAGGTGTTCCTTTTTCTAAGATTTTTTCCACATCTTTTTAAAGCGTTAGCTATTTTGAAAATCAAAACATTTTTCATTCAACCCTTACATTTACATAATCCCAAAACAAAGTGCCTTAATTACTCCAAGAATTTTCATTTCTTTTTCAGCAGAGGAGATTTGCTGAATTTGACCCAGATTTGCAAACTGCTTTCATCTTCCAAAAAATGCATTCTTGAGAAATAAACTATTTACAGAAATTATTTACTTGGCTGTTTTCATTATTTTCCCAAAGTCTGGGAAATGAGGAGACCAAGGCTATGCCAATAAACAATTTGTAAGTACCCTCTAGGCTTTGTCAGAAAGGAAGATAAACATTTGCTCTATTTTCTGGAACAGGCTGCCCAGAACCCAGGAGACTGAGTCTGTTTTGGGCCTTTGTAACTTTTTACTATTAATTCCTTCAAACTACAGTTCTGGTTGAACCAGTTCTGAAAAACAGGTACTATGTGAGGAGAGGAGTTTGCAGGGCTGGTGCTGTACGAGATAAAGGTCTCTGGTTGGGCACTTCCCACTTGGTTTCAACCTGAATGGCAGCAGACCTGTCTTCCAAGAACCTAGAACATGAAACCTGTCAACAGTTTGCTTTTGCAAAGCCCTGGAAATACAGTAGGAATGCAAAGAATGGTTATTCTGCATTCATTTCCATATACGCCAAAGGGAGGGGACCTGATGGAGCAACAATGGGACCACACAGATGGACAGGATCCAACAGGCAAAGCCCTAAAGCCTTCAGGAATTTTGTTGTGCAAATTAACAAACACAAAGAAATCATTAGGTGGGTGAGGAAAATGAGAGATCCCAGTGCCAAAGGTGCATAGAAAAGCTGGGAATGCTGGCAAACATGGGAAGGCAAGACAGGAGCAATCCCCAGTGGAGCTGAAGCTATTTCTGCTCTTACCCCATCGACACTCCAGATTTACACCAGAGGAAAAAATCAGCGCAGACTCTGACACAGGGAGATGGAAAGGAAAACCAAGCCAAGTCTTGTTGGGGAAAAAGGGAAGTACTGAGCTGCACATTCCAGAGGGTGAGAGAAGCAGGAGGACATCCACCCTGGAAGAGACGTGCTCCACTGCAGCACTGGGTTCAACGCCTACACACGAGAACAGGAGTGACACCAGCGAGAGCTGCGAGAGGCTTAAATGAAGGATGAAATGAGAATTCAAATTGCAGCCCCATGATCCAATTAGAGAGTTACTGATACGAGAGAAAAGTCTCCCTCAATTGCCAGAAATTATCCACTTTCTAGGTAAAACAATAAACTTGGATGGTGCTGGGAACACCCAGAAGTGTTCCCTCCCTTGGATTTAAAGCTGAACAAACAACAGATGAACAAATTAGCTTATTAATCTTAATTTTTAGCTATCAAACATTTAATAACCTGAATTCCTCATTATTTAAGCTAAGCAGCCTGAGCAGTTTAAATTGATTGGTGCTCTGCACATTGCAGGCTCAAATTGAGGCAGGTTTATGAGGGTAGCTGAGGTGGCCAGGATCAGACAGCAGAAAGATGGTAAGCAGTGGCAATACCTAGGACTTAAACCAGTTTAAACCCAGGGCCAGCCAGACATCAGACAAACCTGGGAAGGAGAAATCAAGCTACCAAGTAGGCTGGTTCTTTCTGAGGTTCTACTTTCAAGGTGATTTTTGCCCCAAGCAGGAGGGGCAAAGAGGAGATATTCTGTCTTGAATTTTTTATCTCATTCCCTAGTAAATGACTGGTGACAGATAGGTTGGTTTGGGGTAATATAGGCAATACATGGCTGTTAGCAGGGAGGGAGGGGGATGAGAAGGAGGCAGAAGTGTCCATCAAACAGACAGGGTGGCAGCCACAGGGAACAGCAACATCTGTGACCACTGAACTGCAGCTTGGTCCCCTTGGTCACTGTCCCCTCTACACACCCACCACCAGCCCTGATTTCCAGACAGTTATCCCCGATATGCCCAAGCAAAAGCTCATCTGTACCATGTCCCCACTCTCCCAGATGCTGCTTGTAGGTGTTTTCACAACAAATCAATTAATGAGTGCCATACAAACCTTCTTGAGGACAAACTCCAGCTCAGAGGCCTGGTAGGCTGGATTCACAGATACCTGAGGAGGGAGAAACAAGAAAGTTGATCAGAGTTACCCAGAGTTACCCTTGCCTTGAAAATCTTCCCCCCAGCACATACTCCAACAGAAAAGTTCTCCCAGGGATAAGCCACACTCAGAGCCTCTCCTCCAACACACAAAACTAAGAGCTCACCACCAGAGGGATTCCACATCCACAGAAAAAAAAAAAATCCAAATTCTGTGATTGCACAAAAGAAAACAGTCCCAAAAGAGATTTATGTGAAAGAGGTCACACAGTCAAAACAGAGTTTCAGAAACAGAAACCAGACCTCCTGTCCCACTGGCAGACAGTCAATCCACTAAACTAGATCAAAACTCAAGTGCAAGTCAGGATTCTTGATGGACAACCACGAAATACTTTCTCCAGTCCAGCTCTCCACAGAAGCAGTATTGGTTGCTGGAATTGAGTTCACCCCCAGGTTCATACTGAGCCACACTCCTCCACCCTGTTCCTGCAGACACTGGGCTAAACCAGGATGAAGAGAACAGACCACAAGGTTGGGTTTAGACCTTACTGCCCAAATAAGGTGCATTTTGGTGAATATGCCAGGTCATATTATCAAATTGAAATTGTCTTTGGGGATATGCAGCTTGGACTAGAGTTTTAAACGAGCATTTGTGCCTTGGAGCAATACATTTGGAAGGGACCTAACCAGCTGGTAATGGGTTAGGACAGCAGCATCCCACAAAAAGTGGTCCTGGAAGGCAAAAGCACATCTCCTTCTGTCACCAGCTGCTGCAAGTTAGTTCACAGTAGTTTCTTGCTGCTCCATCCTCTGCAGTGTGTTTCCCTACAGAGTGGAGGACAAAGATGCAGAGAGCTGCACAGATCTTGTTTAAATACTGGATTCAGTTATAGACAGCACGCCAGGTAAGAGCATGAAAAAAAGAGACAACAAACTTTATTCTCCAGTGTCTCCTATCACTTCTTTGTCTCCTTTCCCAACAGACTGCTAAAAACCCAGACACAACACACTCCTTACCAGGATGATTCCTGCCTGGGCCGTTGCAAACTGCATGAGAACCCACTCGTATTTATTGGGTCCCCACATGCCCAGCCTGTCTCCTTTCTTCAGGCCAAGAGCCAGAAGCCCAGCTGCTGCTTGGTCCACCTGTAAATCACAGGACAAGAGCCTGAGGATCACACATGGGATGCAGTGGGGCATATTTGTCTCCAGGCACTGCTTTCTGGGGAAAAAGCATCGTCTTTGCAACTGAAATGGGACAGAATGTACCTCCCCTGCACAGCCCATCAGCCTGTGGCTGCAGCAGCTTCTGAGCCCCAGAGCACAGACCTGCTCAGCAGGTTGACTGAAAGCACAAAAATAACAAGCCTGGAACAATACCATAAAGCAGGAAGGAAACCAAAATGAGCAATTAGGTACAAATTGTTGTAAATTAATTCTTGCTCTAGGACTACTTAGTGCCTGGCTCCTCATCAACTACACTGAGGACTAAGCCTTACCCACATGCTGGGCCCATCCACACTGTTGGATCTGCCTCCCTTTTGGGATATCACTTACCTTGAAAAGGACGTGATAAAGAAAACTGTATAGTGTGAATTTTGACCAGTTTGGGGTTCCTATCCTCATAAGTCCTATGAGGAGCAGCTGAGGTTGCTGGGGGGGGCTCAGTCTGGAGAAAAGGAAACTCAGGGGGGACCTTCTCACTCTCTGCAACTCCCTGACAGGAGGGGGGAACCAGGGGGGGTCAGGCACTGCTCCCAAGAAACAAGGAACAGCACAAGAGGAAAACTGTACCAGGGAAAGGTCAGGTTGGACATCAGGAGGAATTTCTTCACTGAAAAGGTTGTTAAATATTGGAAAGGACTTCCCAGGGAGGTATTCAAGAAATGACTGGACGTGGAACTCAGTGCTCTCTGGTCTAGTTGACAAGGTGGGGATCAGTCAAAGATTGAACTCAATGATCTTGGAGATCTTTTCCAGTCTTAATGATTCTGTGATTCAGTGATTCATTAACTTGTATTCAGCCACTGTATTAACAACTACTTTATTTTTTTAGATGGTAAGTGTGTGTCAGGTGTGTAGATGTATGAATAAATATCCTGAGATATTCAGGAAAGTTTTTATAGTTTTGTTGTGTTCTCAAATGAATTTATGAAATTTACCTTGTAGGAGATATGAATTTGAAGAACAACTATTCTCTGATTTAGTTCGGAATTACAACTTACTTCTTAAAATCAGGGTGAATATAGCTAATCTTGTTTATCCGAATGGATGTGACCCAAACCATACTAAACCTAAAAAAAACCTCAGAAAAAAACAACTCCTCCTATCCAAGATCATATCATACATTTAATAGAACATTTCCAGGTAGTTAGCCTCGAAATATTGTCCCTCGATTTCGAAAACAGCTTAACATATTTTTGTAAGCAATATGTACACACACACACACACACATAGATACACCCCCACACATCTGTGCATGTAATATTGAGCCCTAGTCCTTGACTTTGCTCCATTGCTTTTGGGCTCAGATAAAAACCTTCCACACACCCAGGATCTCTGATAGTCAGAATGACTAATACAGAAGGTGGAGTCTACTCCAGTAGAGAAAACACTGACTCAGCCCACAACCCATCAGATAGAGATGATAATTTTAAGGTATGAAAGTTCATTCTGGGATATTCAACAAGTGTTATGTATACACTGCCTCCTCCCTTTCATCTCCAGATTCCAAGGAGGACAAAGGCAGCACATGCCCGTCGGTGCATGCTGGGGACACGATGCTGGGGACACGATGCTCCATACACAACACACCTCAGTCCTGAGCTGAGCAATGAAACCATTTTCCATTTATCCATCACGTCTGCTGAGGTTACCCACCCACGTGTGCTCCCTGGGGGGTGAACCAGGCACTCACCTCCTCTTTGAACCGGGCAAACGTCCTCCGAACCCCATCCCGGCAGAACACCAAGGCCTCGCGGTCGGGGAACCGCTCGACCGTCTCCTCCAGGCACTGGCCCACAGTTTTGTCGAGAAGGGGAACGTCTAAGGGCCCCTGGACATAGCTGTTGGTCACTCCAGGGGAGACAGGGGGCACCTTTGTATGCAGGGCACTGTGAAACAAAAGGAGAAGAGTCTATTTAATACAACCTGTCCACACAATTCTCCCCACCTGGAGGGATTATCTGCCTGCCGACAGCATCAGGAGTACACAAAGCACATTCCTGCAGAGCCTCCAGCCCTCTGTGGGAAAGCAGGACCCTGCTCTCTAGTGGGGAAGGAGCCTCCACCAGCCCTGTAGACTGGGCACAGCCTGGTCCTACCATCATCCACCCGCGGTGAAAACTACATGGACAAGTCAGGACATCTGGACAGACTATGGACCCTGCAGTTTACTGAGAGATGGCAACTGGGCTGGGTCATTCTGCAACATAAATAACTGGGAAGGAACACTACCAAACCAGTTTGTAGATAAATTCCCTCAACTGGCTGAAAAGAGCAGACAACTGAGAAAGGGAAAATTAAAATTAGAGATCAGTCTTCAAAACGGTCAGCAGGGAAGAGTCTAATCCCACAGAATAAAGACTGTTTAAAAGAGTTCAGATTGAGCCGTAACTGAGGCATCTGCAAAGGAATGGTCTGTGTAAACAACAGCAAGCACTCTGTCTCTGCCAGCTGGAACACAAGGAGTTTATAGAACTGCAGACAGCATCCGTAAAATGAGGAGAAGTGCAGAGGCAATAACACAGCAGGGAGGAGATGATCCCTACGGTAAACACTGGAGGAGGACTGGAGGGGTGTGAGCAGAGCAAGGTCCCGGGCAGGAAAGGAGCACTGAGGTATGGTGCATAGCTCAGGGTCTGTGTTTGCAGATTCAGTGGATAATGGGGGGGATCCCTGCATTAGACAATAAAACCAGCTCAGCCTAAACTCAATTTTCCTCCGTTCATTATGGGATCAATATTCTGCAAAGACTCGGTGCCATGTGCCACAAAAGATTTGTTTTCCTGCCCACAAGAAACAAGCCCCAGCATGGAGTTACCTCCTCTGTGAGGTGAAGTTCGGTCGCGATACCCTCAAGGGGAGTAATAACCTGATCCTCTTCCCCCCACTGCTTTTCGGCAGATGGAGGATTGTGCAACTCCCACTGGACTCTGTTCAGACATCTCTCTTCTCAGAGCTCTTGGGCAACTCACATCAAGACTGTAGAGCCGCCCGGGGAGGAGGAGGGAGGACAAGTGCTAAACTGAACTACCATCCACTGTTTGAAATCTCTTGGGCAAGGCACATAGATAAACTAGGAGATGAAAAGAAAGCTCTGCAGAAGAAGAGCCTTTATAAATACAGGTTCTATAAAATAAAGGCTGAAAAAGCTCTCCCTAAGCCCAAGAGGACATATGCTCCTGGGAAAGCAGTAAAAGCCACAGCAGCCACTGACACTTGTTGGTTGAAACAGCGAGAAGCCCCTGTCCCCTGTCACAGAGTGGTCTCAGAGAAGCAGGTGGACAAGGAACCCTCAGGTTGTTTGCTAAAACATTTACTGGAGACAATCACACTCACATCTCCCTCAAGCCAAGTTGTTTCCAGTTTCAGCAGAGCCTGTTCCTAAATCCCCTGCTGTTCTCTGCCATCTGAGGCACAGGGACGTTTCTGGGCAGGGCCGGAGCAGGCGGGGAGCAGCTCCTGACCTGGTTGCGCAAGAGCACTTCCCAGAGAACTGTCCAGGGGTCACAGGGAGCCAAGAAGGCTCAGCACTGGCCTGAAGTGGGAGCAAGCAAACACAAGCCTTTCATGAACTGGGGGACACCACCTCTGGGGACACCACCCAAGGAACCAGCTGGTAAAAAAACTGGTGCAACACATTCTTCTACCGCATGATTAAAAAGCTGAACAACAAAATACCATCACAAAAAGAGACTGGAGAGGGGAGGAAATATTATTAGAAAATTCAGGTTGAGAAAATTTAATCAAAATCCAAAAGTGTCCAGTTGAAAGTCAACCTTCCAAGAGGTACTTGCACAACACTTCATTGCCAATGAGAAGGGTAATATCTTACACTGTTACATCTTGCTAAAACATTACAGAGATCAGGCTTTCTGGGATTACTATGCCAGTATTTTTCCAGGCCTGAAGAGACAAAGGCTTTCACTGACCTTGCAGAACCAGACTTGTACACTAAATGCAAGAAGGCACAAAGGCAGAAGTAAATGACAAAGCTCCAGGCTTCATGGCTTGGCTTCCTCCCTACCCCTGAACAGGGGGATGGAAGAGCATCAAAGAACAGTAAAAGATGTCATTATAAATCCCCATGCTCCAAAACACCATGAAAACACTGCTGGTTTCCCCCACAGTGTGAACACGTGCCCAGCTTGCTCTCAGAGGTCTCAAGCATCCACATTTTCAAATGAAAGCATCAGCAGCCCTGAAATTAGCAGCTAAGATATCTCATGCTCATAACCCAGAGTCACAGACTCCTCTCAAAGCAATAATTCACATCATTTCTTCAAATCCATTAAAGCAAAATTCACAACTGCCACTGAGTCTGAGCTCCCCAAATCCTGGTCTGATGTTCACATGTGCTTCAACATTTCTGTATCATTTCTCTGCTGGCAGTGGCAGAAGTGAAAGGCGTGAGACAAAATACAGCAGGCTGTTGGAAGCACTGGGGGTCAGGAATGGAAGGAATGAGGCAGATACAAGATATGTTCATAATCAGCAGCATCGTGCTGGAAATGAGGTGGGGTTGGTCTCTCTCCTGTCTACAGCCTGTAGAAGTGTATATATCTGATCTGAAATAATGTATCAAGAGATCTCTACAAAGAAAGGATCCAAAGGATTCAAAAATAATCTTTGTGGTCATCTTTGTTACAGAAAACAAGTAATTCACCCTTCACCTCTTCCTACAAAGCATCTGGTGCTGCTGGAGATAAAACAAGACCAATGGTCCAATATTACAGCAGCTCTCATTTCCCTGACTCAGCTGGAGGAGAGCAAATAAAACTCTACTTGCTCTTGGGTGTCAGCACAGACTGTAAGACACGACTTTTGGAGAGCACGTCTTCTGTTAGCAACACATTTCAGCAGCAAGACAGCCTGCAGTGCCTGCAAACGAGCCAGCCTCATCTCCAGGCTGTTCCCGCAAAATTCCATGACCCTGAAGTTCAGCAGCACAGCTGAACAGAGAGACATCAGAGACCCGGGAAAAATTCATCCCCCTCCTGTTCCATGCAAAAGGCAGGAGAGCAGCCAAATCCCAGCAATCCCAGAGAGCCCTCCAGCCTGACAGAAGGATCAGAGCGAAGCAAGCACTCTGGACTAATCCTAGGAGCTATTTATCTCTGAACAGCCCCAATAAACAGTATAGAGTTGTTGATATAAGATAACCAGCTCTGTTTTCACCTTTAACTCTTCATCAGTCTCTACAGAAATTATCAAAGGGGATGAGACAGGAACACAAGGCAGAGGCATCACTTCCTGTCCCCGTATAGTGTGAAGGACATTGACCTGACCAGTCCCTCTGCCCTCTCAGGGCTTAGGAACTGTCCTCATTACAGAGTTCACACTCAGAAAGGTTCATGGACTCTCCTGCCAGTTCCTTTGCTCATGGACATCTACCAGCAGCTTTTCCCCACAAAGCAAGAGCCTCTGTGTCTTTTGTGTTATATGACTGCAATAAAAGGGTGGTGAAAGTTAGCCCAGCTCTGACCTCCCCTCTTCTTTGCTCTGTTGACTAAAGAGTTAACTAGGTTCTCACTTCTTTTTGTTTGTTTTGGTTTGAGGACGGATCAAGTTCCCAGGGTTTTCAGACTCCTTCTGCAGCAACTTTCTGGACTTTCTAGTTATGTTTTTTACTGTGTTTCTCTGCCCTCAGCACTCTTCCTTTCAAAAGGATAAATACGCCTAGGAGCAGAATTTAATAATTTATTTTTTTTTATAATGTTACTAGAAAGACTTTACTGTCTAAATTTGTCATGTTTTTCTCCAAGGGCTTTGTGTTCCTATCCTACAGTTTCACTTCTGGGCTGGAGTGAACTGTAGTGAACTCTCTGTCATGCTTCCCTTCTGATCCAATTTCCTAAGATTTTGAGAAGGAAGCTTGGAGCACCCACGATGAGGTGGCTTCAGCCACCTCACTCCTAATGTCAAACCAGCTGAAAAAAACACCCTGTCTCTGGAAAAAGAAGGAACCCCCGTGGTTCCTGGGGAATTGCTCACTGGTAGTCATTCCTCCCAGTGAGTATTAGGCTCTGAATATCAGCTAACCCTTCAGAGCCTTTCCCAAAGCCAGTTGCCTTCCCATTGCTGTTCTTTCACACAAACTTGCTCCAAGAGGCAGCACTGAAGGAAAGCAAAATAAAGAACTGGCCTGACCCCCCCCCCAGAGCTCCTTGGTGCCCTGGACCTGCTGTGTCCCCCACCACCCTGCCCACCTGGGGATCTGCAGGACTGCAGGAGGACAGGGACACTGCCTGCAAGTCAGAGTGCCCAAGGAGGGTGAAGAAGCCATTTGATATGTTTGACGTTACCGAAATCAGGATGGAGCTGCTGCACAAAGAAAGTTCAGCCCCGGGCTGAACATCCCTCCATAAACTGCGCAGGGCTCCTCCCTTCCCCCGGTCCTCTCCCAGGCTGCGGGGGCAGACCCAGGGGGTGCAGCCTGCCGTCTCCCATTTTGGAGGGGCTTTAGCGGAGCCAAGGCACAGTGACACACACCGAGATGAACCTGCCCTCCCTGCATGCGGCAACTCGCCTGGCTGGACACCCACATCAACTGGCAGCTGCCCTATAGCCCCTGTCCCCCATCACACATGGTCTGCAGCCTCTATGCCCCACAGTCCCCTATTTCCAGCCCCCACCGCCCTCCACCCTTTATAACCCCCATTCCTTCTCATCCACAGTCCCCTGTTCCCTATAGCCACCCATCCCCTATAGCCCGCACCCCCGTTCCCCCACACTCCCTCCCGGTCCCCAGCCCATCCCTACCTTCCCGGCGGGGCTCCCCGCCTCCCGCCCGCCCGGCGCAGGACCCGCAGCCCGTGCCGGGGCAGCGCTGCCAGCCGGGCCGCGGCCATTCCTCCAGCGGCGGCAGGACCGGGACAACCGACGGGGCCCGACCCGTCCCGTCCCAACGCTCGGAGCGCGGGGGCGGTGCCCGGCCCGCCCCGGCCCCGCTCCGCCCCATCCTCGGGGGTTGAGAGGGCCCGGGACCCTCCGCCGGCCGCGAGGAAGTGCCCGGTGGGATGGGGAGCAGGGAAAGCGCCCACCCGAGTGCGGGGATGGGGGCTCAGAGGGAGCCCCCGGCACACGGCTGGCAGCGCGGGGATGGGGGCTCAGAGGGAGCCCCCGGCACACGGCTGGCAGCGCGGGATCCCGCCAGGCATCTGCCCCGTCCTCGGCCAGTCCACTGCCCAAGCCCTGCACCGCACCTCCTCCCCTGTACATTCCCACTCCATTCTTCTTCCCGGCTTGCCCCATCAGTCTGTTTCTGCCTGACCCAAACCACCCCGAATGAGCCCCTCGACCCAAATGAGCGGAGGTGAACTTCGGTGCGAGACAACCAACATCACTTTTCTTCACCTGTATCACTTGGTGCCCGAGCCTCAGAGATACCAACTGACCTCCAGCACTATCCACTCAAGGAATTATCAGTTACCATCCCACTAACAGCTTCAGGCCCTCCCTGGCTCGTGCGCCCTCCCATGGGAAGAGGAGAGACCAGCTGGGAACTGCAGAGCTGCTCCAGGGATGAGGCCCCTCAGCAAGAGCAGAGGTGCGGGCAGACACCAGGTGAGGAGCACGGTAGTGCTGCGTTCTGCAGCAGCACTGATGCTGAGCAGGTGACACATCATCCTTCCCCACCCGAAATGACTGACAGCCTGTCTGGCCACGGCCTGCAGCAATGGCCAAGAGCTAATTAATCCTAATTAAAGGGCTGGAATATAACTCTGAGCCCAAAAATGCTCTGCTTCTTTTGAATACCGCATGGGCATTAACCAAACCGTACTGTCAGTGCTGGCCTGAGACATGGGCTGCTTCTGTAGGTGTTTTGCAGCTCTGCCTGGATGGAAGCTGGAATTAGTGTGCCTGGACACAGTGTCTGTACCATGCCGAGCATAACGGTGCTGATGAACAAGGGCATCAATATTGGCCTCAGAACGGTGAATCTCAGACACCAAAGCCATAAATGTGCTCGTAACAGAGTGAAATACCAACTGTCATCAGACCTCTGATTTTAGAAACAGGAAGGATTTTCCCCAATGTGGATCTTGTTCGCAAGGAGTTTGTTCAGTGGCAGCAGTGACAGTGTTTTCTTTGGTAGGGAAAGGGAGATTTTTGTCCTTGAAATGTGAAAAATCGGCCGTGGCTGCAGAGGGGCCTCATAGATCTGCAGAGGGGACACATGGATCCACAAAGAGTCTGGGAATGATCTCCATTCCCAGGCTGGCATGGCCAGCTTAGGCCCCCAGAGGGGGAAGGATTGCTAGATCAGGATTAGATTGACATCCCACTTCCCTGAGCAGTTCCTGCTCCATTCTCCTTGCTGATGTTCTTGCAGCCTTCCTCTAGCAGAGAGTACAGATGTACCCTTTGTTATGGTTTGTCTTGTGGGTGTTCGAAATCTTTCTAGTCTACATGCACAGGTACCTCTTCAAGTCAGTCCCACTGCAATCAGCAGCAAGGTGAGTTTCTGGATTCCCACAGGTGATGTAAGGCTGTGTGACATTCATGGCCAGAAGTTGTCCTTTCACTGCTTCAGCACAGGACAGAGCAATTATCTTTGTCTGTGCTGATGGAGCATCTGAGGGCTCAGTGTTGTATAACCACTGGGGAAAAAAAATGTCTGGGATGCAAACACCTCACCTTTAATAAATAAAGATAAAGCTGACTTTTAGCTTGATCTTCCCATGCAACAATCATTAGCCCACAGGGTGAATCCTGGTTAAAGAAAGAATTAAATCAAGAATTATGCAGAAGTTAAGGTGACCTTGATATTTGGCTATGTTTGTTAAAAATTGTCAAAGCAAAGGCCAGCTGAAGTAGTACCACTTCATACACCATTGCATAAGGTATCATTCCTTTCTAATGGAGATTTAAAAATCTGCCTTCAAGTTAATCACAAATAAGCAGGTAGGTTTTGTAACCCATCTACACCCCTGCTTGTCTTTGCTAAGAGCCAAAAGCTCTTGGATTTGTGCAAACCCAGATTCCAGTCCCTGCAGCACTGCACAGACAAGGACTTCTCCCAGAGATGCAGAGGATCTTGCTCAGGTCCCCCCAAAGCCCCTTTGGTTTTGCCCTCTGGAGCAGAACTGTGTGTGGTGCCCCCCAGCCACAGACGGGAACTGCACAACACTTCATGGGAGTCCTTTGTTACCTCAGGGTAATGCAGGGCTCAGCAATCACCTGCCTTCCTCAGAGATCTGGCAATGAGAGGTTTCTCCACCATTCCCTGGGGCAGGTCTTCTCTGGCCCTTCCTTGTCTCCAAACATTGTTGTGAAAAGCTGAGGGATGGGAGACACTCTTGGATGATTAGACCTCACCCTTCTCAGGTGTGGGCTCTTTAGTTTCTGGTCACCTTTGGAGGAACAATACCACGCTTTGAGAAACTTCTATAATCTCCTAGATGAGAGCACCTTAAACTCAGGCAGATTTTATTGTACTTTCTATGAGGCAAATCCTTGTGTGCTGATTTGGAGTGCCTTTGCTCAGAGACCCCTGTGGTCACAGTTCCCTCTGTGCTGAGCTAATGCTGGTATCTTGGTGTTGGAAAAGACTTACTGCCAGCTTAAAAACTAACTAATGCATCCATGGGGTAGATGTGCTGCAGTAGTGCAAACATCTTTGCAAGGTCCTGTACACCATGAATCACACAGGGATCAGGGAATTCAAGGTTAGTCCTCACTGTAATCCCATTACCGGGTAGCACTAATTTGGCTCTGCTCCAGGTTCCTTTCTCTTTCACTGACTTTCTCCACAGCAGGTCAGGACAGTGCTCTGCTCCTGTGGCAACAGAGCAAAAGCAGGAACATCCATTGAGTGTTCCCCCTCTGAAGAGACATTGTAGGTAACAGTCCAACCAAGAGAGAATTCACTCCTCGAATTAGGGAGACTGTGGAGAGATTGAAGCAGCTGTATCAGCTGTTGTAAAACAAGGTATTGATCACTGGGTTTCTGGGTTGTTACTGAGATTATTGGCTGTTAACTAGTTGGTTTTCCATGAGGTGGTGTTTGATGCGGTGATGTGACCGGATGTGAATCTCACCCACCCATGGGGTTGGGCTGGGAGTTCTCCTTTCCTTTGCAGGGCCATTTCACGTGTCCAAATGCAAACTCCTGCCAGCCTGGCCAGAGGCCTGGGGCCAGTGGGATGGTGGGCGGGGTGCCCCAACGCAACTCTCAAAAGTTTTCACTATTTATATGTTTTAGAAAACAAAGGCATTAATGTACATTGGCTACAAGTTACCTAGTTCTTGTATTCTGTCTTGTGTTGGTTAATGATTCTCTCACTTCCCATGCTAATTAGTCCACATGCTCAGTCTTTCTTGTCTTTTGGGGTGGTGGGTCTCTTGAGTCTGTGGCTGTGAGTCAATGGTCACAATTTCCCCCTTCCAGAATTTCCTTTTACCCAGTTGGAGCTGATTCAGTGCAGTTGTTGAGTTGGCTTTATTAGTTTCTTCCTTATCTTGAGGGTTCTGCCAAACGTCCTTGTGGCCCATAAATTCTGCATTCTTTGTGCCCACTATCAGCGGCACATTCTTCTTCCCAAGCTTTGCTGACCTCCCCCTAGGTCTGAGATCACTGCCCCAAACCTTAACGAGCCAATTCTACCGACAAAGTAGTTTGTCTTCCGAACACCTGGGCATCCCTCAGAGCCTGTTATCTGCTGTCACACGGATTAAACCTCCTTTCTTGCTGATCGGGCTTGAAAGCGCACAGAG